TTTCACTATTCTGTGCCCTCAACGACAGTGAGATCACAGGACAAGGTCTAGGAAAAATGGATAGAGGATTGTGCATGGGAAAGAAGCTGGGAGGGAGGCTTGTGTTCATGGGTTTCACGCAGAGCTCATCTGTCTCCATTCTGGGTGTCAGGCTCTGCTGGGAACCCAGCCAGAGGTAGAACAGCTGGTCTAGGATGTAGTGACTGGCAGTGACACCCTGCCTGCCTGCCCACTTGCTAGTAGTGTTCCTGGTAACTGCTCACAGGCACACAGGGCTGAAGTCTCAGCTCCTCTAGACTGCCGCCTAGTTTCTCCTCCTGCTGGGTGGACCACGAAGTTACTCCGACCTTCTGAGTCTGTTCCCTCAGTGTAGCCAATGATCAGTGGGCCATGAACTGTGCTGGGCCCTTTGACTCATCACTACTGCAAGGAGGTGAACAGAAGCTTTATCCCCATTTTATTTAACTTATTTTTTGGGAATGAAACCTGAGCTCTGCCACTAAGCTATACCCCAGCTTTTTATTTTGAGGCAGGTCTCCACTAAGTTGCCCAGGCCGGACTCAACTGGCGATCCTCTTGCCTCAGCCTCCCCAGCTGCTGGAATTGTAAGAATGCGCCACCGTCCCGGGCTCATCCCCATTTTACAGAGGAAGAAACTGAAGAACAAGGAGGTGCCCAGAGCTCAGTTTTTTAAGTTCAAGTCCATGTCTGAAGGCACAGCCCACGTTCAGAGCCCCAGGGCTCCTCCCTCCCGCCCGGAGCGCTCTATACACTTAGGACCTGGAGCGCGCATTCGGCAAACAGCCTCGGGCTCAGGGAGGCGAGACGCTGGCCCCGCGTTCCGCAGCCCGGTCTAGGGCGTGAGCGCTACCTGGGGCGCGACGTTGCTCAGGTAGAAGGTGTCGTCCATGGCCTTCTGGCTCCATCGATGGTTGGCGGCAGCAGCCAGGTGGCCGCGGTCGAAGCCGCTGCCGCGGTAGTCGGCATTGGTAGCGCGATGATATGCATGCACCGAGTCATCCTCGCGGAAGTCGCACGAGCGGCGGTCGCCGTCGCCGCGGAGTCGCTCGGGCCGCAGCTGCTCGACCACCCAGAGCGCGCCGCGGGTGCGCGGGTCGTAGCACAGTACGTACGACTCTCGGCTCTTGAGCTGCGCCACGCCGGGCAGCCCGTACTTGGCCAGCTCGCCAGGCCCGCGACCCGCCGGTCCCCCAGGCAGAGCGGGCACGGTAGGCAGCTCGGCCGCCGCCGCCACGGGCAGCACGGGCAGCCGCCCCAGCAGCCCCGGCGTCGCCTGCGCGTCTGCCCATCGCCGCCTCCAGTGCTCGGCGGCCGCACCCAGCCCCGCGCCCAGGGCCAGGGTCAGGCCGACCCGCAGCGCCATGGCCGAGCAGCTCCGCGAGGGGATGCGGCGCAGGCTGAGCGCACGCCGCGACCTCGGGCCTACCCACCCCCGGCGCTCTTAAAGGGGCATAGTCGCACCGCGGGGACCACAGCGGGGCTGACGCAGGGTGGGGGTCGTGGAGGGTGGGATGTCCTTTCCCTCCGCTGGCAAACGCTTCCAAGGGCTTGGGATTCAGAACCAAAGGAAGTGGGACAGGCCCCAGGTGAGTGCCCGGCGCCCTTTCTTTGCCCTTTAAGTCTCAGGCCCAAGGTATGGCTCCGCCTTCACCCCTTGCACCGCCGCCTCGACCTTCCCCTCTGCGCGTGTGCAAGGCGCTCCGCGTCAGCGTCACCTTAGGCTCACGCGGGAGTGTAAATCGTTTTTATCTCTGAATTTAATCCTCACAACTACCCCAGGGGAGTTGGCGGAACCCGGACAGGACCCCAGGTCTGTCAGACTCCGAGACGGAGATCTCCTGATCAGTTCACCACAGAACAACCAAGACTTCTAGATTGCCAACGATTTCCTTATTACCTGGCGTGAGGAGCAAGGACGCAGGCAGCAGTGGCCAGCTGCTGGACGAACGGAAACTTGGTACAGAGATTCCAGAAGGCAGCTTTCATAGTGTGTGTGAAAAGCTTCCAAAGGGTTCATATCTTCAACCCACCTAGAGGACTGAGCTGGGGAAATAAGCTGAGAACGCAAGGAGTTGAAACACATCCTCAGCGCAGTACGGCTTATGATAGAGGCTGCGATGGCAAATGTCAAAATAGGAACTAGTTAAGGGTATTTTTTTCTTTTTTGTACTTAAAACAGAATTCAGGCCCTTAAATATTTTAAAGTCATACAGTAACTTTCTCACCACCTAAGGTGAGGGAAGAACAATACACAAACACGATAAGTCAAGAAAATAATAATTATGCAATAAAAATCTACGTTTCAAGTATTTTCTTTAGATTGTAGGATGGGGGCAGGGCATGTCTTATTACCTACTTTTGAATTTCCAAGTTTTTTGTAACTTGCTAAAATATAATTGTATATATTGCAAGGTATAATGTGATTTTTTAAATATATGTATGCAATGTGGAATGATTAACATATCCATCATCTCAAATGCTTACTTTTGTGATGAAAACATTTAAAATAACTCTTAGCAATTTTAAAATACACATTATAACCATAGTCACCATACTGTGCAATAATTGATTTCAGAAAAAAAAACTTATTCCTCCACCAGGCATGGTGATGCCTGTAATCCCAGCTACTCAGGATGCTCAGGTGGATGGGAAATTGAAGGCCAGCCTGGGCATCTTAGACCTTGTCTTTCAAAAAATTTAAAAAAAAAAAAAGCTAGGCACAGTGGCAGATGCCTGTAATCCCAGGGGCTCAGGAGCCTGAGGTGAGAGAATTGCAAGTTTGAGGCCAGCCTCAGCAAAATAGGCCCTCTCTCAGCAGTAAACTGTCCCTGGGTTCAGTCCCAAAAGACAAATTTAAAAATCAATTGACTGTAAATGTGTATTTCTGGGCTTTCTATTCTCTTGGTTGATATTGGAGGGCGGGGCGGGAACCAGGGATTGAACTCAGGGGCACTTGACCACTGAGCCATATCCCCAGCCCTATTTTGTATTTTATTTAGAGATGGTGTCTCACTGAGTTGCTTAGGGCCTCTCTAAATTGCTGAGGCTGGCTTTGAACTGGTGGCCTCTTGCTTTTGCCTCCCTGGGGTTACAGTCGTGTTCCACCATGCCCAGCTCTTGGCTGATATTTCTATATTTTGAAGTCAGGTAGTGTGATACCCACAGCACTTTTTTTCTTTTTTCCTGTTAAGAGGGCAAAGCCAGGGCCTCATACATGGTAGGCAAGCTCTCTACCTCTGAGCTACATCCCCAGCCCCTCTAGTTTTTTCTTTTGTTCAAGATTGCCTTGGTTGGGCTGGGGATGTGGCTCAAGCGGTAGCGCGCTCGCCTGGCATGCATGTGGCCCGGGTTCGATCCTCAGCACCACATACAAAGATGTTGTGTCCCCCGAAAACTAAAAAATAAATATAAAAAAAAAATCTCCTCTCTCTTAAAAAAAAAAAAGGTTGCCTTGGTTATCTGAGATTTTTTGTGATTGATTGCATACACATTTTAGGATTGGCACCAGGTATAATGGCATATGCCAGTGATCCTGGAAAATAGGGAGGCTGAGGCAGGAGAAATGAGCATTCCATATCAGCCTCAGCAATATAGCCATATCCTGATTCAAAAATTAAAAAATAGTAAGGGCTGGGGACTTACATCAGTGGTAAAGCCTCCCTTGGTTCAATCCCCAGCACCCCAAAAAATAAAAATTATTTTGCTTGTGAAAAATCACGTTGGAATTTTTTTTTAATTTTAATATTTATTTCTTTGTTTGTATGTGGTGCTGAGGATGGAACCCGGGCCGCATGCATGCCAGGCCAGCACGCTACCGCTTGAGCCGCACCCCCAGCCCACGTTGGAATTTTGACAGGATTGCACTGAATCTGTACGTTGCTTTAGATAATGTGAACATTTTAACAAATAATTCTTCCAATCCATAACTTGAGATCTTTCCATTTATTTATGTTCTTCAATTTCTTTCAAAGTTTTATAATATTCAATGCACAGATTTTTCATCTCCCTGGTTAAATTTATTCCTGGGATTGGGGTGTAGCCCAGTGGTAGAGCTCTTCTTGCCTAGCATTCTAGAGTCTCTGGGTTCCATCGTCAGCACTTTAAAGCAAAACATTTAATCTGGAAGTACTTGAAATTTTGTGGCATACCAACTATAATTTTCTTTTTTGTTTGTTAATGTATAGAATGTATAGAAATGTTGATTAGCCAGACAGGGCAGTGCACATGTGATCCAGCAACTTGAAAAGCTGAGGCAGGAGGATCACATGTTTGAGGCCAGCGTGGGCAACTCAGTGAGTGGCTGACTCAAAATAAAAAAGAACTGGGGGGTGTGGGTCAGTGGTAAAGCATCCTTGGGTTCAACTCCCAGTACCAAAAAATATATAGAAAATTAAAAAATGCTACTGACCTGTCTGGTATTTGCGATGGGGGCTGAACCTGAGGCCCTGTGCGTACTAAGCAGTAGCTCTACCCTGAGCTACACCCCAGACTGCACTGACTTTGTATCTTGCAACTTTACTGCATTTTCTTATTTTTTTTCACACTGTTTTGGTGAAGTCTTTAGAATTTTCTACATACAAGATCATATTGTACAAAGAAAATTTTAAATCTTTCCTATCTGGATGACTTCTTTCTCTTGCCCAACTGCTCTGCCTAGGAATTCCAGTCCTATTTGAATACAAGTGGCAAGAATGAGCATCCTTGTCTTGTTCCTGGTCTTAAGAGGAAGTTTTCAACTTCTTGCCACTGAATAGGATGTTAGCTGGGGGTTTCTCATCTATGGCTTTTATGTAATTGAGGTATATTCCTATTATGCCTCATCTGTCAAGTTTTTAATCATGAAAAAAATATTGAATTTTGTAATACACTTTTTCTGCATCTAACGAAATTACCTAAGTGTGCATGTGTATGTTTGTGTTTTGCCGTGCTGGGGACTGAACCCAGGAACATTCGACAACCAAGCTATTTTGAGACAGGGCCTAGCTAAGTTGCTAAAGCTGGCCTTAAACTTACAATCCTCCTATCTCAAGTCTCCCAAGTCACTGGCATTACAGGTGTGTGCCATTGTGCCTAGTGTTTTAAAATCCAACTTGCTATGTAATTATGTGGCACTGTCTTCTTACATTCACATTCCCCCTTCCCCCAGCTACAGATCACTGTAGTTGGATTAGAAGAACTGAATAGGCTCTCCCAACAAGGACTTCCTGGCCTTTTCCTTAGACTGCTCTAAGAGACTATGACTCCATCCCTCCCCCAATTTTTCCCTTGTTCCAATGTCTCAAAGGTGTCAACCCATCAAGCACCAATGCCCACTGTAAAGAACACATGATTTATTAAAGACAACTCATCATCAACAGCACTGATTCAAAGAACAAAACACATGAAAAAAAAAAAAAAAAGCAGATTACCACTCTGACCCTCTGGACTGAGACCTTCTGCACTCACAGCTTAAGCTGTAGTGACCAAGGTCCTCGGGCAGCTTCCCAGTAGAAGCCTCAGGCACTCTGACTCTGGATCTCCCTTGAGAATCTGGAGAGGAGGCATCAAGGGTAGGTCCCTTCCTCAGACAGTATCCCACTGGGGAGTTCAGCTTAACCAAGACATGTCCCTGGGCTCTTGACCTTCATCTGAAGGACAAGGAGGGCACTGGACTTTCCCACTGACGAAAATCAGATGCAGTGATTCAAGTAGTATGGTCCCAGGAAGGAAGCCAGGGACAAGTAGGAGGGAATGCATCGGGTGTCCTGGGCAGTGTCTGCTGGGTCCCAGGCAGTGGCCCAAGCTTCAAGTTGTGACGGGGGCAAAGCTGGGGTGGAACTAAAGCTGACAAGTTCTGGGTGAAGGGTGGCCAGCCTGGCAAGAGTATGTCTCTGCCCCATTTCCGGGGTCTCTGAATCTGGCATGGACACCAGCTATCTGGTTTCCCTACACTCAACTCCAGTTCACAGCCATCCCAGCCAGGATCTGATGGAAATCCAGAAGGACCCAGAAGCAGGGGAAGATGTCATTGTTGACCTTGAGAAACAAAAAGACTAGGCTTCCGACTCCTATCTTCCCAGCCCCCACCCCACCCCACCCCAAAGCACTTGCCTACCTACAATAAATAGCCAGGAATCAGAATAAATAGGAAAGAATCTCCAGGTCTGTGACAGGAGAGAAGGCGGCAAAGAGGCAAGTGCAGCAGCCCTGGCAGCCCCCGAGGCAAAAACCTGGGGAGGAGACCCTGGGCCCACAGAGCGGCCTCAGGGCAGCAGGAGGCCCTGCCTGCCAGACTCAGCAAAGCTTTGGGGGCTGCTTGGGCCAGCTCCTGGCCAGTCTGGGGAGAGGGTGAGGACCCTTGCTCTGCCCAGCCTTCCAGATCCAGACCACCTGCCCTTCTCAAAGGCTGGGAAGGGATGTGGTCAGAACACAACACACTCCTTGCAGAACTGGGAGCAGTCAGTGGCTCCTGCTCAGGATACCCCAGTCCCAAGTCCTGGGAACATCCCAAGCAGGTGACTAGAGGGGGAGGGCCAGCACCTCCCTTGGTGCGTGGAGGACACACCAAGGTGCAGACATGGCCCCCTGACACTGACAGGATCCAATCTATATGTCCAGCTACATCAGGACCCAGGGAGGCTTCATTAGGTCCCAAATGCCCTTTATGGGACCTGTGAACACCCCTGGGTTGGGACTTGTGTACACCCCTGGGTTGGGACCTGGCTGGAAGTCAAGAGGATGACAACATTTCTGAAGCACTCGGATGCCAACCCCTGTTCACAGCCATCTTAATGTCCTTTTCCTTTGAGACAGGAGGACCTTTGGGAGAACTTCTTGCAAACACCTGGGCTCCCTCTCCTGCCTCCAGTCCTGGGTAGAAAACAGGGGCAAGAGAAAACATGGGCCACCATTTCTCAGCTACTTTTGGTTTCCAAGATTTCTGTTCTGGAGAGCAGGATCAGATCCCTCCAGTGAGGCACTGTGGACTCCTTCCCAGTCTGGGGGAACTGGGAGCCTCAAGTTGGGGGATGACCAAGGCCAAGGTTGACCATCAGGGGCCTTGCTGAGCCAGACTCCTCATTCTGTCTCCAGGTTTCATGGAGTGGAGGTGGGGATAGGCTCAGGATAAGGCACCCCAAGGAAAAGGGCAGAGAAACAGTAATGGGAGAGGAATAGAGTATCACATACACCTCTAGGAACAAAGCAGAGGGAGGAGAGAAACAGAGAAGGGGAAGCAGGGAGACCTGGAGGGGCTCCAAGACACCCTCCCCACCTCCAAATGCATGTGCACACAGAGGCAGAACACCTGGGGGATTCTGGGACACAGACACCACTGGCGGCTGTGAGGAGACACACACGCTCAGTGGGAGACAAGGGGTGGCCCTAGCCTGGCAGTTGCTTAGCTCCTCTGGTGTCACTTTCCTCTCAGAGA